TTTGACTAGCCCCGCCCAGTGAAAACAGTTGAAAGCCGAAATTAATGGAACCTGTCAATTACAAAGTAACTCAGTTACGAATTGTATTTAATGTGGCCTCATTTAAACATTTTATATAATTTGGGGCGAGGCCTCCAGAAGTCTCTGAATTAAAATGGCCTGGACTGAGGAAAAGATGGGAGGTGGAGGTGAGAAGGGGTGTCAGGGCTGATTTGCCTTTCTAGAGATGCCAAGGTATAGAAGACAGCATTGACTGAACGCTGACTCACACAAAAGTTCCCAAAGGATGCGGTGAGGGCAGAGGATTTGAGGAATCCGTTGTGGAAGTACCAAAATGCAGGGGGGGGGGGGGTCGGGTTGGGGGGTGCTGAGCCTGGGAAGGAGGAAGTGAATTGAGGACTTGACAGGAACAGGTTTCTGAGGAAGGACCAGAAAGGGACCTGAGGCTTAGGGAGATGTCTAGTCAGGGGTCTTTCAAAAAAAACAAAGGCTGGCCCACCTCACGGTGGCAAAACGCATGGGGTTAAAGCAGGGCAATAGGAAGCCAGCAGCAGCCACTTCTGCACCAGTTCTATCCCGGGCCAGCTTGGCACATCAGACCTGTCCTGACCAGCCCACTGCTCCCCTCAGCAGTGTATTTTAATCGATCTGCCTGTTCTTCTCCCCACTCTGTCTCTAGTGAAGCCTCTCACCACCCCTGCACCTCTGGTCTGTACCCCAGTTCTGTGTGCAAAAATAAATAAATCTTTTTTAAAAAATGAAAAAGGCTGGCACACCAGAGTATTCATTTTTGATAACTGACGTCCTGAGGAGATAGTGAATTATATGCAAAAGAGTGGGGTGCAAACCTGCACTTTGGAGTTGTGGAAACAACATGCTGAGTAATTCCATTTGGGGGGGTAAGCAGGGAGGGGATTGGTTGCCTCTGCTCTTTAACCATAGCCAAAGAATCTTAAGAAGGATCCAACTTTAACCATTTCTTCTTACACAATTTTTTTCAACACAGGAAACAGGTGATAATGAAATTAGTTTTGTGTTAAAGTATGTTTACTTCCTCAGACAACTTAGATGATAAAAATGTGAAGAACTGAACATTTGGAGTATATGTTGTTCCTTATTTTACATCAGTGGTAGATACAGTTCCCTAAAATATAACTCATTTTTAAAGTAAGTTCACTAAGTCTACAACCCACACATTTCCACCCCCAAATAAATCATCAGAGCATTTTGCCACTTCTGCATTACTCTATATTTAGGGCCAGATAATTACTTGTACATGTCCTGTGATGATGGGCTGACCTGTGACAGCCCCACCTCTCCAAACACTGTCTGTTATTCTCTGTGTGGCTAAGTACCTCCTGTCCAGTTGAAAACCAGTGGACAAGAGGCTGAAGCCATAAAGCTTATTGTCTTTAACCTGGCTTACCAGAGCCTTCATTATCAGTTCCCATGCTACTTTTTGCAGAATTTGAGTCTGTTTAAAAGTAATCCTTTCTTTAGCTTCCTCACTACTCTGTCACATAGTCTTGGATACTTTCAGAGGTAGAAAAGATTTAGATTGCTAGGTCTTGTGTTTATGATGTCTTCCTTAAGATTTATATGTGGAGTCTACTAGCTCTTCCTCTTCTAACATTGTAAAAGAAAAATTCTAATCCTTCCATTCTATGGAAATATTTCCATTTCTAAATCCATGGGCACAGGATTGTGAATTTCATATTTGTGTCACAAATCATTTGATTTAAAAAATATTTTTAAATGAGATGCTAAAAATTGTCAGATTTCTCTCAATTGTCTCAAAATAATTTACCTGTTATACTCTCAACTTCCTCCATGTAACAGTTGATATGTGATCATGATCTCTCCTTGCTTGTGAACAATAGTCAAGCCTGATTAAAATATGCTACCCAGAACTACCCAGAACTGAGCAAGTATTCTGAATGTGGCTCACACTATTAGCACATAACATTGTGTTATGCTTGTCTATCTTCCTTGTCTCTGAGCTTCAAGGCAAAACCAAGTCTTAATCACCACCTTTGTTACAGGTTGTAGTCATCTTTTATTATTAGCACTGTACCTGCCCTTTCCTGGTTTTCAAAAATTTTGATGAAATGTAGCTCCTCAAACTCTCTGAGATCTTTATAATACTTTATAATTAACCAAATATGTACATTTTACACTATCTAGATCAAGCATTGGCAAATTATCTGTAAAGGACCAAATAATTATTTTAGGCTTCGTGAGAGCTACTCAAATCTCTATAGCACGAAACTAGCCAAAGACAACATATAAATAAATGCATGACCATTTACAATAAAAATATTCATGGATATTGAAGTGTGAATTTCATATTTGTGTTACAAATTCTCTCAATTTTTTAAAAGATTTATTTTATTTATGCATACAGAACTAGGGCACAGGCCAGAGGTGCAGAGACAGTGAGAGGATTCACCAGAGACAGAGTAGGAAGCTGAACAGGCAGATTGATGAAGTAACACTGCTGAGGAGAGCAGCAGGTGGGTCAGGAGAGGTCTGCTGCACCTTGTGGGTCACCTTTCTAGCCAGCTAGGGATCGAACTTGTGTTGAAGTGGCTGCTGCTAGCTTCATATCGCTGCCCTTTAACCTGTTGTGCCACCAGAGAGGGCCCAAATTTTATAACATAAAATCTGTTTATGTTATTTTATAACATAAAAAGCAGTCACAGCTTATGGGGCGTATAGAAATAAGAGGCAAGCTGGATTCAGTGCACAAGCTCTAATTTGCCCACTTACTAATGTAACTCAATCTTTATGTGATTGATTTTTAAAGTGTAAGTATAGACTGCACAAGATATTGTTATTCCTTATTAAATACCTTGCTCACTGCACCCTGTGTTTCTTAGTTTGCTCAGCTCTTTTAGTGTGCTCATTCTCTCACTATCTAGCTTTGTGTTGATTGCAAAATAGTAAGTATACTTTCCCTGTATAATTTACAAAAATGTTGAATAAGGATAAGAGTCCTTATATACTTCATTTTTTTCTGTTAGTGATCATTCTTTGAGTATAGCTATTAAAAATTATAAATGTCTACCTAAAATGCTTCCTGTTGGCCAGCCCACATTTCTGTCTTTAGTCCATGGGGTAGCTATGAAGTTCTGTTGAAATATACTTGGGAGGAGCATAATGAATTCTCAAGTGCTAGTAATGTTCTGTTTCTTTACTTGGGCAGTGATTATCTGGTTGATGGTTACCAGGATCTGGTTATTTTATGAAAACTTATTCATCTATAGACTTATAATTTGTGTTGATCGTTGTATGTCACATGGTTCAGTGACAAAAATGAAAAGGGGGAGAACTCTTGCACAAAACAAAAAAACCCATAAATAGTGTCAAAAGCAAAAATTAAACCACACTGTGGGAGAAGATATTTGAAACACATGCAAAAAGAATTTATATTCAGAATATTTTATTTTAAAAGTTCCTACCAGTCAGAAAGAAAAGGGGGAAAAATATGGCCAATAGAAAAATGGGCAAAGGATGAGAAAACCTGTTTGATATGTAAACATAAAATGGTATTCAACTAACTAGTAATTATAAAAATACAAATTGGAAAGTTATTGAAATACTATTTCATATCAATCAAATTGAAGTCAAAATATCTAATACCAGTTGATGAGCTTATGAGGAAACAGAAAACCTCATATATTGCTGATGGTAATTTAAACTATTATAATTTAGATTTATCAATTATTGAGAGGAAGATAGGCAAATTCTGAGACTCTATAGTTTTATAAAGGAAAAGATTATTTTGTCATAAAGATTTCCCCCCACAAGTACATAAAGTATATCTACAAAGATGTGCATGGCAATTTTGTTCATAGTAGTAAAAAATTGGAAACAGACCTAAATGCCCATTATTAAAGGGATGGAGAAATAACAGCTGTTAAAATGAATAAAAATTGACATATATATTAACATGATAAAATCTTGAAAACATAATATTGAATGAAAAAAATCTAGTAACAAGGATTTAGACATCGCAAAACCATCCAAGTTTTAAAAGAACAGTACATATTTTTAATATCTACACATGGCCAGAATTGAGTGATATAGTTAGGAGGCACACTCATCTAATAGCTATTCTGTTACCTCTGAACAAAGGAAGAAATGGGGCTAGTGAGCTTAACAAACATCTCGAAAAAAATCTTTTGAAGTAGACAGGCAAAACTTTTACATTTATTAATTCTGGACACATTTAATATGTTCTCCAAACTTTTGTTGTCTGTTTGAAATAGTCTTCTTAAAAGTTTTTTAAATTAGGCTGAGCCAGGAGTGTGAAGGATATAAGACTTCCTCCCTTTTCTAAACACTTTTCATTGTAAGTACAGCTTTCTCAGTCACTCTGCATCTATATAGTGGTTTATGCCCGTCACCACCACCGGATCAAGGAGGGTGAGAGCTGATAGAATCTTTTCTTACTTTCTTTTTGTCTTACCTGGCATTGCTCTTAGTAAAACTTAACACTATCTTTTCAGGACACTTATTAAAAGTAAGACATTATAACTACAACAAAAATGTCTTTAAGCCCATGACCTAATAGTTTTATTGATTAAAAATTCAAAAATGAAAGGTTACTTCACTTGTATTTGACAAGTCTTAAAAGTAGTATCTTTTAAAGTATAATAACATTGTTTGCTGCTTCAATTGATAAGTATATTGTTAGACAGTCACAAAACATCTGCTTTCACACGACAGATTTTTGTGTTTTAAAAAATGAACTATAATTTCTAAAAATTTTACACATTAGCTTGTTAACTGTTTCCATATAATTATTGAAGGCTTTCATTTTAGAAGTCAAAAAATTATGTCAGCTAGAGTATTCTTTCTTTCTTAAAGTTTTAATATTAGGTCACTAAACCCCTGACTAGTAAGTACTATGAAACATAGCTTATTCTTTTGTGCAATAAAGCAGAGAAAATAATTAGATTTTACAGGTAGTCCCTGGGAGAGAGCAGGAGTTTACTTAAGTAAATAAACATGTTAGAGTCTCTACCACTTGCTAATAGCTTGGTTGTTAGGCAGTGTGCTAGGCAACAGGCTTTCTTTTTCTTTTCTCAGAGTTTAGAGAAGTAGTTCATGTTGTTACTGATTTGTTGTTGTTTTGTTTGCAGGTTAAGTGCCTAAAGATGAGAAACACAGATCTCTGTTTGAGCTCAGAAGGAACTGAGGTGATTTTAGCTACATCAAGTGATGAAAAACATCCACCTGAAAATATGATTGATGGGTAAGAGCTATTCTTTCTTTCTTAAAGTTTTAATGTTAGCCCTGAGTCTAAGGGACTGTGAGTTTCACAACTAGCACTATGAAACTTAGCTTAATAAAAGTTTAGTGAACTAGATTACTTGACAGTATACACCTTTGGTATCATTCCTGTAGCTAATTCAGTATACATCTAGATTTTTGATCATTTTCTTTATAATTCTTAAACTGACCTATATTTAAAAAGTGGTTTAACAAAGCAAAGCCTCAGTTACCTCACTTTGTGGTGGTACACACTTTGTAATATCTGGTTATGGTTGTAGTCCAAACTTTTCTTGGAAAATAGGTATGTAAACATTGTAACTTCCTTACTATCCTAAGTAAGACCTTTGCTGATCTCTGCTTCACTTTCTTTTATCTGCCTTCATCTCTTGGTTCCCAGCTTCTTGATGTCTTTCCAATATTTACTCTTCAGTATGCTACAGCTTTTTCTGGGTACAGGTAAATATCATTCTCAGGCTTTTAAATTCCAGTAAAAAGTATTCAATGTGAGGATACCTTTTTAAAATAGTCCTGGCTATGTTATCGCTCTTTTTTTTCTCCTAATAAACCTTTTTTAAATATTTATTTATTTATACTTGCAAGAACTGGGGTACAGACCAGAGGTGTGGGGGTGAGAACATTCACCAAAGACAGAGTAGGGAACAGAATCAGCAGATTGATGGAAGTAAACTGCTGATGGGAGCAGCAGGCAGGACAGGAGAGGTCTGCAGTACCATGTGGATTACTTCCCTGGGGATCAAACTTGTGCTGCAGTAGCTGCATATGCTACATAGTGCTGTGCTTTAACCCCTTGCACCACAGGGAGGGCCTGTTATCACTCTCTTTAGTCGTCTTTCTTGGTATCTGTACAATGACCAGAGTTTGACTTACAGAACTATATAACTTTAGAGGTTGAAAGACTTTTGAGTTCATCTTATTGCAGCTTTTCATTTTAGACTTGTGGAAAGAAAAGTCTAAAAAGGTCAAGTATTAGCTTTAACTACTGAAGGCAAAGCCAAGTGTAATACAAATTTTGTGGTTCTTTGTGTTCAAGTTTAAGCACCTCCACAACTAGTTTTAAAATATTGAATCACCCCCAAAAGAAATCTTGCTCTCCTTCAAGTCACCCTGTGTTTTCCCTTCCCCACAAGCCTATTTAAGCACTAATCTACTTTCTTTCAATATAGATTTGCTTATTGGGACTTTTCACATAAATGAAATCATACATATGTGATCTTTGCATCTTATTTCTTTAACATACATGTTTTCAAGATTCATCTGTGTTGTAGCCCATAGCAGTGCTTTATTACTTTTATTGCCAAATAATATCTCATTGTATGGATATAGCACATTTTATTTATCATTATCCAGATAGATGTCTGGATTGTTTCTACTTTTTTGGCTGAATTTCTCCCAATTTATTAAAACAAATCAATTTACAGATCCAGGAAACCCAGTTGCTGCCAAGTAGGATAAATACAAAGAGACTACATCATAGTAAATTGTTGAAACATAAAAAATTTTAAACAACAGCAAAGAAAGACATTATATACAGGAAAATGGTGGTATTAGCGACAGTTGACTTTATGTCACAGACAGTAGAAGCCAGGTGACAATGGTATTTAATATTTATTCAGAATTTCTATCTAGCTAAAATATCTTTCAAATATAAGGATAGAATAAAGACATTTTATTCATTACAACTAGACCTGTGTTATAAGAGACACTCAAGAGAGTTCTATAAGTTGAAGTCGTATAATAGAGATGGAAATTCAAACCTACAGGAAGAAATGTTAAACGTTTTGGTAAATACAGACTCTTAATATTTTTTAAAGGCAACTGAGTACTTAATGGGAGAAAACATGTTGTATTGTGTGATTTATTACATGTGTAGATGTAAAATATATTAAAACACTGTAAATTGATTATCTTGAAGTTCTTATAACCTTGAGAATACCCACTGGCAGGGAAGAATAGCTAACTAGTCAACAGGAAGTAAATGAAATTTTAATTTTAAAAAACATATTCAAAAGTAGAAGATAGGAAAGGAGAAGTAAATAAAGAAGAAATAGATAAGATACGCAAATAGAAAATGAGTAGCAAGTTGGTAGACTTAAACCAAACCATGCCAAAAGTCTAAACACTTTACTCATATCACAGTGGTATACTGGGAAAAAATGAAAGATTGAAATAGATGCTGTTTATAAGAAATGCATTTAAAATATGAAGTCATCAATAGATTGAAAATAAAATGATAGGGTGCTTCCTGGTAGTGCAGCGGGTTAAAGCCAAGCACTGCTAGCTAGCCACAGCCACTGCAGCACTAGTTAGATCCCCATCCCCAGAGGTGACCCACATGGCACAGCAGACCTCTCCTGACCCGCCCACTGCCCTCAGCAGTGTACTTCGTCAATCTGTCTGTTCTGCTCCCCACTCTGTCTCTTTCAAAGCCTCTCACCCCACCTCCCACACCTCTGGACTATACTCCAGTTCTTGTATACATAAGTAAATAAACAAAACAAAACCAAAAAACAACAAAGAATTAAAAATGCAAAGACTTCATCTAATTAAAAAAAAATCCTAAAAAAAGAAGTTGGAGCATTTACTACATTATCTGCCTTCAAGATTTAAAATAAATATATAGTAATCAAAACAGTGCCCAGAAATAGAACCTTATATATATTAGGTCAGTTAATTTTCCACAAAAAGCTAAGGGTACAGAAACAGTTCAATGGAGTAAAATGGAGGAGGCAGAAATAGATCTACCCAAATACAGTCCATGACTTTTAGAAGGAAAAAAAAAAAACTGTCAAGGCAACTCTTTTAACATTTGGTGCTGGAACAACTGAAAAACCATATGGATAAAAATAAATCTTGACTCCTACTTTCATAATGAACACCTAAAGTGTTTGGTTCATCAAGGTGGACCTAGAACTCAATTCGGAACTAAAATATTTATGTATTTATGTATTTACTTATTTATTTACTTTGGAGAACAGAAAAGGCAGATTTGTTGAAAAATATTGTATGAGAGTTAGCAGTCAAGATAGGAGAGGTCTGCTGTGACAGAACTAAAAGATTTATGTTTCTGAAGAAAACACTGTAAAATACACTGTGACTATGGGATGAACAAAGATTTCTTAGGGAGAACACAAAAACTACTAAGCATAAAAAATGTATAAAAAAAAGTAAGCATGAAAAAGGTAATATAATTGGACTTTACCAGTAATAAAACTACACATTAAAAAACACAATAAAGATTAAAAAAAACACACACACAATAAAGAAAATGGAAAGGCAGGGCCTCTCTGGTGATGAGGTTAAAGTTTCAGTGCTATCAAGCTACTGCCAGCCACTACAGCACCAGTTTGATCCCTGGCCAGCCAGGAAGCTAACCCACACGGTGTGGCAGACCTCTCCTGTCTTATCCACTGCTCCCCTCAGCAGTGTATTTCAGTCAGTCAGCCTGTTCTGCTCCCCACTCTTGTCTCTGGTGAATCCCCTTATTTCCCCCATCTCTGGCCTACACCCCAGTTCTTATATGCATAAATAAATAAATCTTGAAAAAATGGAAAGGCAAACAACAGAATGGGAGAATATTTACAGTATGCATATTCAGCAAAGTACTCCAAAAACATAGCTAGTAAAAGTACAAATAATGTAATAAAAAGGGATGGAATACTTTGAATAGAAGAAGTAAACATGACTCCTCAAAAGGCACATGAAAAAATTGCCTAGAGTCACTTATAATCAAGGAAATAAAAGTTAACATCATTATTAGACACATTTCACATCCCCTAGAATGGCTAAAATTGAAGACTAACAGCAGCAAATGCTGATAAGGATGTGGAGCAATTAGAACTCACAATGCTGACAGGAATATAAAATCTTTGGAAATCTGACAACTTCTTATAAACATACTTCTGACCTTATATGACCCAGTAGTTCCACTCCTAGTAATTACTCAAGAAAAATGAAAGTCCACAAAAACACTTGTACAAGAATATTTATTGCAGCTTTCTCTTCATAGTAAAAAATTAGAAGCAATCCAAAGATTCAATACAAAATAAAACAGATATTATACCAATAAACAAATTATGGCATATCTGTGATGATAGAAATCAGAGTAGTGGTTATCTAAAGGAGATAGAGATTGCCTTGAAGTAAATATAAGGAAGTTTCTGGAATGATGATTCTGTATTTTGTTTGGGGTATGGTTATCTTAGATGTTTGCTACATAAGCATCCACATTTATCAAAACTTACTAAATGTACAAGTAAGATGTTATACTGTTGACAGACTTTATCTGCTAACACAGAAAGCTTACATATTTAAACAAAAATGATTTCTCCTGCAGTAATCATAATAGTATAAAGTTTTATACTCTATTTTATATATATATGACAAAATTGAATACTTAAAAATTGTTTTCAACACACATCTATTATGTATCTGCTAGTTGTTGGATATAAAGTTGTGGAAGAGATAGATAGAGGCTGGACTTAAAATCTCAGTGTCTAACAGGAGCCATAAAAACATGAGAGGTAAATGCCAAAGTAAAAATAGCTGCTGAGTGTGAGGCCAGTGCAAAAGAGGGAGGAAGTGATTCTGGTTTGTTGGGATTAGAAAGATGGGACCAAAAAAGTGAACAAATGCTTGCAAGGGAAGAAGGAAGGACTTTTTAGGTCAAGAGAATCTCATGAACTAAGGCCCTGGTACATGAGTGTGTATGACGTGTTTGAGGAATTTTAATTGGCCAAATGTAGCTACAGTAATGGGAGATGATATTGTGAAAGGAAATGATATACTTTCAGGATGGAACCAGAGTGTACAGGGTTGTAAAATGCCATCTAAGAAGTTCAGATTTATAGGCAATAAGGGGCTTTTGAAGGCTTTTAGACAAGAATGAAATCAATTCTGTATCTTAAAAATGTATATTTGGTAGTAATAGTGGAGAAATTAGAGAGAAGAAATTAGAGCCAGAATGGACAGAATGAGATTACAAGGGTTCAGTGGCTATTTATTGTTTTAAATACTTATTCACTAGAGTGTCATGATTAAATGTTTTTATTGGGCTTTATCTTTCTCTTTTTCTTTAAAATTAACAATAGGAATCCAGAAACATTTTGGACCACCACAGGAATGTTCCCCCAGGAGTTCATTATTTGTTTTCACAAACATGTAAGGATTGAAAGGCTTGTAATCCAAAGTTACTTTGGTAAGAAGAGGGCATGTATGTAAACTTTTGGCAAACCACTAATTTTTCTTTACAGCATGGAATCCAGTTTTACTGCAGGGGTGGGAAGTTGGGTCGTATGGGTTAACTGCCTTGAGCACAATTAGATTTCTGAAAGTGCACTTTTGAAACCCTTCCAAAGCACATAATTTCCTTGCAGTTTATTGTGTGAAAGCCTATGGCAAAAGGCTCCAAGACGCCAGCTTGCCAGAAAGCTTGGTTCTTTGACATCTTTATTCTAGATTCATTTGACTTGAGATTCTCTGTTAAATTCTTTATGAAATTCTGATAACCCTGATTATTTGCACTGGATGGTTTTGATTTTTCTACTAATAATGGTGCTGTCTTAGGGATTTAGGAGAAGAATCTCCCAATGGTACATTTTTCTAATCCTGTACTATATTCCTTAAAGTATCAGACAGAATCATGTCAGGAAATAGAATATATTCGAGTTGGTTCAAATAAAGAGACATGGTTAATGGGACTACTTACAAAATTATAGTTTGAGTAAATGGTATAAACCCTGGTTAAAGACCCAGAAACTGGCAACTTTGTGAAGCTCTTACCACCACTGGAGCAAGGGAAGGAAATTGTGTTACTGGAATAGCTGGGTGAGAGCTGGAACCTGTGGATAAGGGCCTGGCTGGCAGGAGCTATAATCAGGAAGGGACAAAACCACTGTCAAAGACATGGTGCTGAGGCAGGAAGGGAGTGGATTAAAAACAACCGGATCTCACTTCCCCCACAGCCCTCCAATTTCCTCCTGGTGCCTCCCATTTGTCAGATCTGACCAGGAGCCAGTGGGCAAGTGAGTCCAGGTGATGCAACCTGATGGTCTCTTCCCTGGGACACAAAACAGAGAAAGAGTAGATTTGTGGGGGTGGGACCTGGCTTAGGGGTAATGGAAAAAAAATGTCTCTCTTCTGTCATTAATTGTAGAGGCCTTGAAGTCAGACAGACCTAGAATTTAAATGCCAGTTCTGTATCATTGAACACTTTCCCTAACTTATCTAAGTTGCTTGATTTCTCTGAATTTGCTTCCCCATCAGTAAAGTGGGTTAATAATACTTTTCTCATAATATTGTCGCGAAGTATAAATGAATAAATATGCCTGATTCAAGGTTTGCTCATCTTCATAAAGAAGATGTGACCAGGGCCCTCCCTGGTGGTACAATGGGTTAGGACGCAGCACTGCAGTGAGCCGCAGCCACTTCAGTGCAAGTTTGATCCCCGCCCTGAAGGTGACCCACATGGTGCAGCAGACCTCTCTTTTCTCACCCGCTGCTCCCCTCAGCAGTGTACTTCATCAATCTGCCTGTTCTGCTCCCCACTCTGTCTCTGGTGAATCCTCTCACCACCCCTGTACCTCTGACCTGTACCCCAGTTCTGTATAAATAAATAAATAGTGAAAAAAAAATTTGTGACCAGGATTGCTAATATTAACAGTATTATTTGCAATTCTACTAGCTCTGAGTTGTATGCTTGCTATCATTTGTAAGTTACAGCTTCACAAGACTGCATTTACCATAGGAACTTACGAAAAAACAGAGTGATTGTTAGAATATGATATTCTTAATGCCAGTATGTTGTACAATCCCATCAGTCTCTCAGTTTCAGCAGAGGGAAAAAGGAATCTAGAAACTATAGTGATGTAGAATTAGGTAGGTAATTAACACTTTATTTTGCTTATTTACAATGTCAGTGCGGACCTTGAAGATTGAAAAGAGCACATCTAAAGAGCCTGTAGATTTTGAGCAATGGATTGAAAGAGGTATGTGCTTGTTTTTATCAATGCTATTGTAAGCATGAGAGAAAAAAGAATTGAACTTTGACTCTATATTTCTAATCAGGCTGCATTTGGATGAAATCTCAGTGATTCTTGTGACATATTTGTAGTCTAGAAAAATCTTAAGTTTGAATCCAATTCTGCTTCTTCACTTATTGATTATGTAATTGTTAAAATGTTACTTAATTTTGCTGAGCTTCAGAATCCTTATCTGAAAAAAATGGAGATTGTACCTAACGTTTTAAGATTTCTGTGAACAAAGTATCTGGTACATGGTAGACAAACAGTACATCTTATTTTTTCACCTTCTTTCCTTCCTTGCCAATTAATGATAGTATTTATATATGTCAGCAGCAATGATAGTATTTATATATGTCACTTATCTTATGGCAAACTCTAAACACAGCATATTGCCTTTATGTGTCTCTCTCTTTTTCCTCCCACCATGAATAATAGCAAAGGAATGAAAAAGGTAGACAAAATAAATGAATAAAAACAAGTAAGAAACCAAGAGTCCAAAACAAAGTTCAGAGATAGATATGAGACATCAATATATATTATGGAAGAGAGAAGGCATATGGAAGACTAGTAAATTCTATAGATGGATGGAGTAGGTTACAACCTAAATGCCTGTCAAGGAGAATTTTACTGAGAAGCAAGCCAGTTTACCCATCAGAGCCCAGGAACGCCTAAAATTTGAAGGCAAAAATTAATGTGAAAATGTGGGTAAGATATGAGCCAGAAAACAAGAGTGATTAGTTGAACATTTATATGCAGAGTGGTTGAACTCAATGTACCTTTTCCTAAGGCCCACAATGCTAAGTGACTGTTCTCCCACAAATCACCCCTTAGAGACACCTAGGAACACTAGTGTTCCTAGATTAATACTCAGTCTCACTGGATATGAGACTCAGAGACCAGGTATAGTAGAGAAAGTAAGACATGGAATTGAAAACAGAATAAGTTAATTATCTTGAAAAATTAATTTCTAAAAAATGACAGCTAATATATAAATTAAGCATTTCATCTTTCCAAAAGAATGATATGATTAACTTGTAATGAAATTCTTAATCTCTCCTAAAATTATATAAAGGTTTTCTAAGATCAATTCATGGGCAGCAAAATACAGCACCATGGTAAAAATTCATTGTGAGAAACAGCTATTACTACCTGTGGGCTTGGGGATGGTCCCTTTCAGTCCTTCAGTTACTGTTAGTAGCTTTATCCTTAGAAGGATTACATTTCATCAATTATTACTTTAAATTCAGTTACCTTAGTTTACATTTGTATTTCTTACTGTTTATATTTACTAAAGATATTTTATAGCTGATAGTTTGTCTTTCATACATTTTATATCAAATAGCTCTTTTTTCTTGAATTCTAATCCCCATTGAAAATTCTTTCAATCTGGTCTTAACCATAGTTTGCCAGATACCATGTTTGGCTAAACATAAATTTCAGTAACTATCCTTATGTATTTTGAGCTTTAATTCTTTTCTGTTAAATTTGTGTTTTAGATCTAGTACACACAGATGGGCAGCTTCAAAATGAAGAAATTTTAGTAAGTAAATATACTTTGTAGAGGTAAACATTATCTTTAATCAGCAAGCATATTTAAAATTTGAACCTTTGCCCGTAGTCGTAAAGTTAGTAAATACAGCCAATATTATAGGTTATGTACATAATAGAGATATTCTCAATAATATTATAATCTAAATGTAGTATTCATAAATTAGGCTCTCATCTACCATAGAATGACAGCAGGATAAAACATTTCACTTATTTGTTTTTTATTCTGTTCATTTTTGTTGAAGGGTTTATTTGCTTTGTTTTCTTTCACTTGATTCTGTGAGCCTTCTAGAATAAAAATCTAAGATGGTTGCCAAAATTGGGTGTTCATTTAAGCATGAAAGGACAAGCGAGATTCAGATAAGAGGAACTGGAGCATAGGATCAGCAACAAATAAATCAAAGAGAGATGAGGCAGAAAGAAAATCAGTATTTTTCGACAACATCCCATTGGGCTTTGATTGTCAAGTGGAGTGGAATGCCTGTGATGAGGAAGCTGCTGCCTCATCAGCGATTTCTCTCTGTTCCTGCTAGCTCATAGGCCCTTAGGCCCCCATATTAGACAAACAAAAGAGTAAAACAACTGAAAACGTGTGTCTTTTGGTTGTAGTGTTTGTTATTTAAAATTTTTCTAAGTGAGGGTTAAAGCAGTAGTTTGTCCACTCCTCCCTTATTCACAACTTGCTGCGAGCTGCTATGAAATTAGTATTTTAAAGGATTCTGTAGGAAATAAGTTCTCTTCTCTACCACTCAAATTTGCCAGTGACGGGGGAGGCTATCTAGACCAGGAAAATTGTTAATTAAACTGAGTTCCATCTACCTGTTTTCTCCCATCTTTACTGATGAGTTATGATTAGTAAACCTGTGTTGAGTGTTTTGTTTCAGAGCTCCCTGAGCATGATAGAACTTTTGGAAAACATAAGGGGGAATGGCAGACTGAGAATTACCCATAATATTATTATTCTGCCTCAGCAGCTCTAACTATTCTTATCATCTAGTTGGCAGTCATTTACAGCACATAGTTCTAATAGTAATGTGTAAACAACCTTTATCTTTTTTAGCTTACTTATAGCAAAAGCTTTACAATTATATTTTTAAAATTAAGTAAATGAAAATAGTCAAATGTTAACTAATTTATTTTTCTTTCCTCTGTCATTATAAGTAATACTACAAAGGACATCTTTTGCAAATTCCTCCTGCTGCAATCTTTACCTTTGTAATTATTTTCTAAACTGAATGTTGAGGAATGGAATTGGGTTAATAGGTATTGTGTGATATAATATAATTTGCTCTTCAGACAAATTATATAAACATGAAAGTATAGTAATGCTTCAGCGTGCTATATTCTGTGGTATCATTCATCAAAGGAAATCTCTTTTCATGAAAAATACTTAGAAAAACACTCTTTAAAAACTGACCAAAAATGTAAGTTACAATATTTTGCTCCTCCTGCTAGTTTTTATTAAAGCAAGACTGATACTTGGCTAATTAAACCAGGACAACTGTACTGTTACATGTGGCCATATTCTCTCCTGAATATTGTTATATATTTAGAATATTACTCTTGTATCAAGCTCTTTCTTTTGCCAACTGCTTGTTGCTAAAAGCATCCGTGTTAATTCTTCCCCTCCAGGTACATGATGGCCATGCCACTTACTTGAGGTTCATTATTACATCAGCCTTTGATCATTTTGCATCTGTGCATAGTATTTCTGCAGAGGGGATAACTGTCTCAGGTCTTCCTTAGTAACAATATCAAAATATTCTTGCATGACTTTTTAACAGTGTATTTATTTAAACATGAACTTGTCGCTGATATACTGATATACTTTATTAAAGGCATTTATATCAGTCTGCTTAAGTCTTTATTTATTTTCTCATCAATATTTTGAGGAAAGGAGTTTTGCTTCATCTGTCAGTAATTATGACCACCATAAAAGATAGAAGAAAAACTCTCCCTTCAATATATAGCTTAATCAAGTGACTGACTACACATGAACACGTAAGTAATAATATGTTGTGTCTCCACAGTAACTAACATGGTGCCCTTCAAGTCCAGTGCATTAATTTTTTTTAAAGATTTATTTATTTGTGCATACAGAACTGGGGTATAGGCCAGAGACTCGGGTGGTGAGAGGCTTCACCAGAGACAGAGTGGGGAGCAGAACAGGCAGATCGACGAAGCACACTGCTGAGGGGAGCAGCTGGTGGGTCAGGAGAGGTCTGCCACACCATGTGGTCACCTCCGGGGCAGGTGGGAATCGAACTCATGCGGAAGCAGCTTTAGATTCTCAGGGCTGTGCTTTAACCCGCTGCGCCACCAGGGAGGCCCCAGTGCATTAATTTTTTAATTTACTTATTGACTGATGCAAAAGAGCTGAGTGGGCAATGGAAATAGTGAGCAGTGTATGAATTCAGAAAAGAGAAAGTACTTATGGGAAGGTTTCATTAAGATCATGGAACTTGAGCTGATCCTGTAGGATAAATTATTTTTTTCTTTTACTGTATCCTGATTCATGAACTTCATAGAAGAATAGGAAATACAATCTTACTTCCCAGAGACAACTCTAATTGGTATTGATATTTTTTATATTTTGTAGAGGCAAGATATGGGATGTGACAAATTCAAAAAAAATAAAGTTTCTCTGAATATACTTCATTATCTAACTTGACTTTAGAAACATAAATAAACTAATATACTCCAAAATTAAAATTAAAAAATCAATCCTAAAATATTGAAGACAAACAAAACTGTGTGAACTTGACTTTACAACAAGTTAATTTTAAAAAATGCATAGGAGAAAATGGCAATAGAACATAGGATTTTGTTTATGCAATCTGTATCAGTTTAATACCGTACCGTAGTAATAAGGTCACAGACTTGTTGATTTAACATAATAGAAATTTATTCTCTCCGTTTTTGAAGCTGAAAGTCAGAAATCAAGGTATTGGTCAGGTTTATTCATACTGCAGTTTCTAAGGGAGAATCTTTTCCAGGGCTTTGTTTTCACTTCTGGTGCTGCTGACAATCCTCAGTCTCCCTCTGGCCTCCCTCAGCCTTGGCACCGTCACTCAGGTGCCTCTGTTATCCTATGACCTTTGCTTTGTGTGTCTTCCCATCTTCTCTCTCTGCATATATGTTTCTATGGACTTGCCCTCTCCTTATAAGGAAAGTTAAAGGCCCACCCAACTCCAGTGTGACCTCATTTGAGCTAAGTACCTCTGCAATGACCCTCTTTCCAGGGAAAGTTGTATTCACTACTGGGTATTAGGACTTAAGCATGTCTTTATTTAAAGACACAATTCAACATATGATATTTATGTATGATAGCTAATTTTATGTGTCATGTAACTGGGACACAATGCACAGATATTTGCTTAAACATTCTGGATGCTTGTATATGGAAATTTTTTGTATAAAATTAATGTTTAGATTGGTGGACCTTAAATAAGTCTATACTGTAATAGCCTCATCCAATCTGTTGAAGACCTTAATAGAACAAAGACTGATCTCCCACGGACACAGAAGAATCCTGCCAGCAAATTATCTTCAACATGTACTATGACATCAATTCCTCCCTGAGTCTCCAGCCCACTGGTTGACCCTGCCAATTTTGGACTTGCCATACTTCATAGATAAGTGACTCAATTTCCTAACATAAGTCAGTCTCTCTCTTTCTACACACACACATACACACACACGCACACGCACATCTACTGTTCATTACAGCTAGATCACAGAGAGCCCTGATTACTTTCAGATGTTTCAAATGTAATACTAGAGTCATTTGAGATTTGGAGAAGGAACTGACTTCATGAAATTGTGTTCATGTTCAATAAAATGAAATGCTGAGGATTTTATTTTTACTAAATTCCTACACTAAAATGTTGACAATTCTTTGTGTAAGGAACACACAAAGGCTTACAAATTGCTGGAAGGGCTCTCCAGAGGCTGTCTGAGTGTTCTCTTTGGCACAAACCTATTAAGTTACCTCTGTCTTTTCCTTTGTTTTTGTCCATTGTGGATGCAGAGAATATATCATCAGTATAGTACTTGCGATACCACTGATATTTGAAAACAACATCCTTTAACCCACATTTTCAGTCATATTGTCTCAAACAACCACGCCAAGTTCAATCAAAGTACGTGGCTATATGGCTTTGGTTTTGTTTTGTTTTTCCATCATCTTTTTTCTGTCTCGGTTGTCTCCCTTCGGCTTCCTCTGTACCCTCCTTTGGACTTTCCTCTGCCTGCCCACCAGCTGCTGGCTACTGTTGTGCTGTGTGTCCTGTGTGCTTTGGATCTTTGAGTTTGCCACTTCCTCCACCTCTTTCATTAGGTGTCTGCACAGTTAGCTTCCTCATTTACTTGAAAACTGGGAGTGTCTGTGCATTTGTAGATATGACTTGGAGGCCCCTCAGAGAAGTGATTCAGGGGAGCACGGTCTTAATATGTGCTCTCCGTTTGAAGCTGGCACTTAGGAAGGACAGAGTTCAGCTGAGCTATAGTCCCACCATTTTCACAGCTACTCCTCAGGATAACCTCACACGTGCGTGCCAGGACTGATCAGTTGCTTTGCAGGGTGGGGACTTTTTATTCAGTGTCCCTACTGTCCTACCTCCTTCCCAGTCCCTACTCCCTCAAAAAGGAGGAGCCCAAGGACAAAGTTATGGAACAATAATGATTATAATTAGCCAACACACAGCCATTTCTTCAAAGTCAGGCACATTTCTGAGTGCTTTACTCATGAATTCTCTACAGTGTAGGCAGCGTTTCTATCCCATTTTATATTTCAACTTACCACAACGGCATAATCAAAGTCACTCGCACAGCTAGCAGGGAGCAGAGCCAGGACCCTGGCTGTAAAGTTAGAGATGGAGTTTGAATCGTGGCTCATTCTTGTTCTAAGGTTGTACACAAGTTAGTTTACTTTGAGTCTTCCTCTTCTGCTAAATGGGAATAATAATCATCTCTTTGAGATATATTTGATTAAACGAGATAACATCTGAAAGTTCCAGTGCCTGGTAGATCATTAATAATAGCTGTTTTTCAGAGTAAAACAGCAACATTAACAATATTAATCTGGTAGCAACTAGACAAGAATTATGTGTTTTTGTGTTAGAAAAGTATCTCCCAAGTCTATTCTTTTATGTTATGTTGGGAAGGAAGTTATACTCCCATGTAGAAAATTCTCTATGTGGTGTTCACAAGACAAGTGCACATTTGACAATGTAACACAAAGACTGAGTGTTCTTTTCACAAAATGAGGTCCTTTAGCATGTGGTATTTTTGCTGGTCAGATCACATTGGGCTATCATAAAAGAATCGGCTGACACAAATTAGAAAAGAAAATGTAAAGATCACACTGAAGACATCTCAAATAGCCGGATATATTTTAATCCTTCTGTGTTAACTTATGGCTTCTAAAAACATTTTTCAAATCAAGTCACAGCTGTGTGTACTTTAGGCTGTGGCCATCATAAGCAAATATGAAAAGAAGCAGCGTTAAAGCAGAGGAATACCAATGGTTATCCATTACTTTCCTATAATCTAACACAAATCACCATTAGGACACTTGCAAAGAAATCAGAAAGACCATTCCAGGCATGAGCTTCTGCAGTGCTTATTGTCCAGTTTGGTCAGGATTAGAATGTTTTGAGTAAACTAGTTTCTACCTTCCTTCTTAACCCCCAGGGACTGGGTAAGTGAAGATGTTGGAGGAGTCTAAGTACAAAGTCATATCTATAAAGTGTATTCAAAGACAGTAAAGTGAGTTCATTCCTCTGATATGGTAAAATTGGAGGCAAGTTCTTGGAAATTGACTCCTTATAGCCATCTTGGCAAGAAAAGAGTCACCATCTTTACTGTCTTCTCCACTCTGACTCCTTTTGCTTCCAATTTTTCATCATTATCTAAACAACGGAGTTTTCCCCATGTTTGGTTCTAAAAACCAGTTCGGTATCTCAAATTTTTAATTCATAATTGACAAACTTGTCAAAGTGAATTTACCCAATGTACAGACGCCATCTCTAGCCAGCTGGTGTCAGATGTACACTGAGAACTATCCCCCCTCTGAGAAGCTGGCTGTTGAGTGGTCTCTGCATTTGGCCAGTGTACATTCTTTTTTTCTTCTCCTTTTTTTGAATTGTCCATTCTTTAACCCCCAGCTTTCTTGCTGCTGCATTTTCCTCATAACTACAGTTCCCAAGTGATTGTTGTGACCTGCATTCCCTAGCTGAGCATTGTATGCTTAAATCAAAAAAATCTGAGCATATGATTCAGCTAATGACACAAGTCAAGAGGGTAAGGCTGAGCTTTGAGAGACTCTGTCGTCCACCTAGAACTGGGGCATCTGTCTGGATTAATTGTGGAGCTTTTCCAGAATAGCACGAACTTCCTCTGGGCGGTAGTTCCAAGGACCAGGTCCACCCTGTAAGAAAAATGAATCAGGCATTTCCAATTTGCCAGGGACCTGGACTAGAGATGTCTGTGAATATATCTGGGTGTTGTGAGTATAGTCTTGTCAGTGACAGATGCAGCCATGAGGTGGGTCTGATCACCCAGGGAAAGGGCATGGAATAGGTCAGAGGCGTAGGGAAATCAGAGAGTAAAGTGTTAGTTTCTAAAAGAGAAAGGGGTCTGTACAAATAAGTTTTTCTTCCTGATCAGACCCTCACACTGGTTTTATCTTCCCTCCCTTCCAACAGTTCTACCCCTTCTACATCCAAAGCACTTGTGCCTCTCATTCCGTGTCTTAGTTCACTGCTCCTCAAGTCCCAACTATCCCTAGTCCTTGCTTCCTCAAATTCCTGCCTCACCCAATAAACAGACATCTTTCTGTAGACCTGAGAAGGCGTCTTCCCAGCTCAGAACTCTTTAATCCCACTGTCTGCAGGCAAAGGCCAGCTTCCTTGATCCAGAATGAGACCCCAAGAACCTAAGTGTCCTGATTCTCCAATCACACCCTGCCCTAAAATGCCTCAGTGTCTCCACCCACCCTCTTCCCAACTTTGGCAGTGACTTTCACTCATGTTCATGTGATTGACTCTTTATTCTGTTTGGCCCAAGCAACTATCATCTCCTCTGAAAAATCTTCCCTTCCCCAGGGGTTAAAAAACATAGTTTGAGAGCTGAATCTGTCCTGATGCCTCCCATACTTTCGTTTACCTATTGTCCTTGGCTGTTTTTGTGCTATAACAGCTGGAGTGAATCATTGCAACAGAGATTATTGACCACAAAATTGAAAATATTTACTGTCAGGTCTGGGAAAGTTTGCTAATGTCTACTCTGGCATCCCATAGTACCTGGGACACTGTTTGGATCTTCTTATCCCCCCAGACTTAGCATAGATGGGGTTCATTTTGTGTTGTGTTTGTTCATTGGTTTTGTGTGTCCAATACGTGCACAGGCCTAACCGCGGGAAGGGACTCAGCCAGCTTACCTCAATCAGGCTATGTTAGAACCATGTCTTAGCAGAGGGGAAAGGAATCCTGAATCCTTATATTGTGGCACCCTGCAGATTCATCTGCAACTTTTTGCATGTTTCATCTGCATTTTTAACTGGGGGGCAGAGGAGCTTCCACATGGTCAGACTTCCTGTGCTCACCAAGGCTGGAAACACCTTTAGCAGCTATATAATTTATGCCCTTGTGTTAAGGGAACAGAGGTTGCACTGACCTGGCTTCCCTGCTCTCTCTAGGCTAGGAGCCTAAGGGAACATAATCACCAGGAAGTAAGCCAGGAATCAATTCCTGATTAGGTTTTTCAAGTTCCTGACTGGAGGGTTTGTTCCCTTCCAGCCACATACATCTGCCCCTTTAGGTTCAAGCCCACCTATGAAATTAGCAGCTTCTTATCCTCCCACTCCTGTCTTATCCCATCCAAAAGATTTAGAATGGAACTTAGAACCTTGCACAGTGTGATCATGGGCAAGTCAATTCCTGTTTTGCTCTCTATATAAAATGGAAACAATATTCACTCTCAGCTTCAAACCAAACCAGAAGGATGCAGCTGCAATCTAGATACAAGGGGCCCTCAAGTGCATTATTTAGTTCCGTGTGAGAAGGTGACCAACACCCCCAATATGCAGAAGAGGAAACTGAAGCTCTATGAGGAGAAAGAACTTGCCTGTGGCCAAGAACTGGGAAATGGCTGGACAGTGATTTGAATCCAGGTCTGCCTGATCTAAGCCCTTTGCCCTTGCCTTCCCTGGCCTCCTGCCCTGGTCACCACCTTGTAGAGGATCCTGCCTTCCTGGAGTATGTAGAGCCTCTTGGGCAGTGCTGCATAGAGCTGGCTGCTCTGGTTCTTCATAGTGTCCACCACCACAGGGCACTGGGGGTTCCTGTCCAGCAGCAGGCGGGCTGCCTGCAGGCGATCCTGGAGATTCCGGTGATTGCGGATGTTCACATTGTTCTTGAAAGCCCAGCCATCTATAAGAGAAAAGCCAGGCGGTGGGCCCTGTAGTCACAGCAGACACTTCTTGCAGACTAAATATCCCCAACTTTTAACTGTATGTCCCAGATAGAGGACCTCTCAGTCCAGTTTCTTATTTTATGTGAATATACAAGATTACACAGGGAGTTAGTGATTGATCCAGGACTGACAACCAGGTTTCCTGGTTCCTCCCAGACCTGGGCTCTTCAATGTTAGAGTTCACTCTAACAGACCGGTCTTCTTGAGCTTTAATGTGCATATAAATCACACAGGGACCTAATTAAAGGAAGATTGTGATTAGGGCTTCCTAGGGTGGTGCTGAGAGACTCCCAGGACACCAAGGCTGCTTAGAGAGGCAAGGATCAAGAACAATAGTTGTTAGTGTTTGCTACCCAGATCATCATTATGAGTTTGTTAGTAATAAAAATTCCTAGGCTTTGTCCTAGACCTACTAGGAATGGAGCCCAGCTATCTTGTTTTAAGAGACTTCCTGTTGATTCTAAAACCTGCCATAGTTTGAGAACTACTGATTTAGAGCCTAGTTATTCTAATTAGAATCTTCTAATTATCCCTCACCACAGTGAGGGATCTGGTTAAAAAGCCAAACCTCAAGCCCCTGGCTGCCCTGTTGAGCCAGAATCTGCATCTTAAAGGACTGGGTGACTTGAACACACATTCCTGTTTGAGCAGAGCTGCTTTGGAGCAGTTCTCAGCTTTGGCTGCCTATCAGCTGTCAGCTGTGATACATAGAGACATCATCTCTTCTCAGCCATGGAGCCCACAGACATCTGTCTGTGCTTAAGTTCTTTAACTAATGGCAGCTGCTCTCTGAAATGGGGTATCTGACAGAGATATACTATACTGTGTTTGCATGTGCTCTCCTGTTACCTATGCTATTTGGTTTCAATTTTATTATGGGAATATTCTGTTATACACAAAAGCAGAGAGAACAGGTTATGAACCTTGATGTATCTATTACCCTATTTTAATTTTTTTAAGATTTATTTATTTATTCATATAGAACTGGGGTACAGGCCAGAGATGTGGAGAGTGAGAGGATTCACCAGAGACAGAGTGGGGAACAGAACAGGCAGATCAACAAAGTACACTGCTGAGGGGAGCAGCTGGTGGGTCAGGAGAGGTCTGCCACGCCATGTGGTCACCTCCAGGGCAGGCAGGGATCGAACTCATGCGGAAGCA